TTATACCTGTAGCCAATTCTCCTGTAGCCTGGAGGAACAGAGGTTTGTCCAACAGGTAAAGGAATTAGCCATTGCCTGTCTCCAGTTGTTACACAAACACAAATGAGCCCACAAGAGGGCTGTGCTCACAAAACTTTTGAGAAGATATATATCAAAAGATTCTGAGTACAATTTTTATCACCTGTAATGGAAAGCGATTTCTTTTATTTATGTACGTATGGTCAAGCCTTTCGTTCCTTGGCCAGGACCTCTTTTTCTTTCCCTTTTCACATGCTTGGCGCTCAAAAAATTCCATTTCATTCTTTAATATAAGCAGAAAGCAATGTTTTCCCCCACTGAGTATTAGTGTTAACTTGCCTCAAAGCCCAGCTGTTGTTGGATTGCAGTAATAAGTGTATGTAATGTTATTTATATTGACTCTCCAATTTAGCCATTAACCAAATAATTTTGTCTGTAGCTTTTTTGTTTATTAGGGCTTGATGTTAACCGTGACACAAGTCAATAACTGCTTCGGAGGTCTCATCAAATGTGGTCCTCTCTTCTATGGGGCTGTTGTGCTGGTACCTGCTGAGGCCTGTGCTTTTCAGCCCAGCACATCCCCCAGGTGGGTGAAGCACCTGGTAATGGTCATGGGAGGCAGTTGGTGCTCCTGGGATCATTTAAGTACACAAACCTTTTTGTTGCTTTCTTTCTCTTCTTTTTTTTTTTTTTCCTCCCTGTTTGTATCAGAATACTTAACAAGCTTCAGAACCCAAACAGAAGTCAGGAAATGTATTTTAAATGCCCTGGGGTAAGATAAAACATCCCTTGGAGATTTTCCCATAAAAGCGGTGCAGCATTAGGACACCTGAATCCTCATTTATTTTAAATCAATCACTAGCTGGACCATGGTTTTGGCACTAGGAACTATTGACCAACAAGAAAGGCAGTGGTGCAAAACTAGTTTAAAGCGTGGGAACTTAGAGCCTAAACCTTGAAATCCCCAAACAATTTTCCTGGTGTAGTCTTGATTTTGCTCGTGTGTTCTTTATTTTGCAAAGATTTGGGCTGAAGGTTTCAGTTGAATGTTGGGGCAGGGACGAGCTTGGAAGAGAAAGAGAAGCTACTAAAAAAAGATTATCAGTGAGGCCTGGTCCATGCCGCAGTGTCCGTTCTCAGCTAAATGATGACTCATATATAAACCCAAGTTATAACGGGCCATTATCCTTATTTATACACTATTGTCATGACCACGTGGCTGAGACCCTCCTCTGGAATGAGTCAACCTATATAATGGGGTGATTAATTTATATTACTTTGCACTTCTCTGAAGTCTCCCTTTGGAAGAACTCTACATGTTTTACAGTTGCTAATTAATTTAATCCCCCAACAATATCCACACTGTGGTTAAGGGCAGCCTTTTTTTTTTTGGTTTGGTTTGGTTTGTTTGTTTGTTTCTTTTGGGGGGGGGGGTTGTGTTCCCCTGGTAGAAACTGAGGCACAGAGATCTCATGGTTCATCCCAAGTTATTTGGCTGTGGGTGAGCTTGGGTCACAGGCTTTAACCTGTGAGCCAGGTGGCTTTTCCAATGGACATTGCTCATTTGCAGATATGGGGAGCACGTCTTCTAGTTTCTCTCCATGCACCCACGATTAGCAGGAACACAGGATTTCCCTGTAGAAGATGACGAGGAATTAATTCCTGTTTACAGCAGCCTTTGTACAGTGAATTTTAAAAAATCCCTATCATTGCTAAGGAGCCCCATCAAGTGATAAACCGCAACTTCTTGGAGAAGGGAAATAAATAAGTGAGGCATTTCTATTTCTGTGTAGGAATAGATTGTCATGACTACTGTCAGAGTTTTCTCTGTAACTAGTGCTGGAAATATTTCTGCGAAAGAGGGAGGTGGTTCTTAGTGTGAAAAATAATAATATTTGGCATGTCCCTGTCAGAAGCAATTTAATGTAAAAGTACTTGGAGGATCGTGAATTTGCAAGTTGGTTCAGAGACTTTGTTGTCTTAAAAGTTCCTTGGAAGATTAAAAAAAAAGGATGAGATTAATGTTATACTTGGCTCCCTGCTTTTGTGGATGGGGGAACTTTGCTGAAAGTCAGGAGGAGAAAAATTATGCTTCGTTTTGTGCTTTGGATCTATCTTCCCTCGGTGGAGAGAGATGTTTTTGGAACCAGGGTTGAGTAGCGTCTGTTTAAAAAATAATGCAGCTTTCAACGTAGTTATCTCTGAAGAATTTGCATATGAACTTTGATAGCTAATCTTTCATCATGTTTAATAAACTGACTAAAGATGTAATTCCTAGTCTCTTAAGACTTGAGATGCTTAGTTAAATACAAAATACTTTTGAAATGCTAATAGACAGAGGCAGCCAGGAAAAAAAAAAGTTAGCAGTATCCCGAGCAGATTCGTTTTTAACAGGCCATAAAAATAATAGCTTAATAAAAGTGAGATTAGGTGGAAAATATTAACTCCTGCTTCTGAATACAGAAATGTAAACATCTAGGATGCACAAAATTTTGATAAACTGAGGTGGAATCCAACATTTCTTGCATGAGTGCCTGTATAATGTGGCGATAGCTGTGAGAAAAGAGGAGCCCAGCATCTAAGACCCAACACAATGAAAATGCAATGAATCGGAATGCCTCACAGATCATAGCGGAATCAGACTTTCCAGCAAGGAAAATCTTTTCATGGTGAATTAAGTGGTGGAGGAAGAAAAATGGTGATGAAAAAAGGTAGGCACAGATCACAAACACTGGGCTCAGGGCTCGCCGCTGAAGATTTAAGAACCTTAGCTAAAGCTATGCAGAATAGAATGTGGAAAATTGAATTTACTAAACAATTAAGCATTGAATTAATCTACATCCCGCACAGTAGAAAAGTGGGGGAGGGAACTGAACAGAGCTGAATAAATCAGGGGAGCTCATTAAAAGATAGTGAATATATCAGGTCTGTTGTTGCATAAAGGAGGCCCGTTTCCTGCACAACATGGTATAATTCTTCAGTCCGGAGCCTCTTCTTTTCTGCTTCCCGCCCCGCTCCCCGCCTTTGGAGTTGTATTCTTAATCAGATTAATAAACATTTCTGCTGAGGTTAGTGCAGCACTCTATATTTTACCTTGTTATCTGCAGCTTTTCTATTAATTACAAGTCAGCTCACTAGTCAACAATAGTAGTGAGGGACAACATAAATAGAATGAGAGTGCCCTGGAGATGTCACTCGTAGGATCTGATGCATCCTGGAACTCCCACGGGTTCCTGCAACCTCCCACATGCCTTGCTGGTCTTTTGTTCAATTACAGTTAATGCAATAGTTTGCCATTTTCTCCTTCTAATTATATTTTCAAGTGGGATTTGTAGCACATAGAAAAACATCCTTTTACATGTTGAGGCACCAGGGCTTTGTGCTTGGCATTGTCTGTCCCCTGGGTGCTGTACCATTCTTTCTGCAGAGCTCTGAATAAACAAGTCCCTCTTTTAAAGCTGCAGTTGTACAAACTGAAAATTTATGCATTAACTGTTTGCATTCTGAGCATGTGTTCCAGATTACCTCTTACAGCATTCTTTTGGTATGCTGGAGAATGCGTATTTGTTAAAAAAAAAAAAAAAGCATTTCTTTCACAGTTCACACATCATTCTTTCAATCACAGAATCACCAGATCAATTAGCACTTTTTTTTTTTTTTTAAAAAAAAAAAGGAATATGCATAATAATTGGTTTAAAATATTCATGTGGTAGTTTCTGGGCCTCACTTTCTTTAATTGTAATCATGTATCATGGCTGTAACCAGGATTATAAAAAAATGGAAGAGATTACTCTCTTCTGGAAAAAGTTCAGCTTTTCTAATCCTATTTATCTTCTGTCTAAGATTAGACTTTTTTTGTCTTAATTTTCTTTCTCTCTGTATGTGTGTGTTTGGAAAGTTCATCTGGATCACCTTAAATCTCATTCGGCTATGTATAAATGCTGTATTAAATGGCTAGGGTTTAACCTATTGGTAGATTTATTAAAAAGCTGGCAGTATCAGTGAACTTTAATAGTATACAGACTCGGCTCGTATTGTGGTATGATTTTAAATCCAATAGATTTACGTGTGTGCGTTGTAAACAGAAGGGTTTTCTTTTTGGCAATAATTTCCAGTGGGCAATATTGCTTCATGGTAGAGAAGAAACTATTCAGTTATGCACAGAAGGCTGTACAGGATGACCAGTGAGTCTCTGTGATATTTTTAAAAGCTAGTACTAAAAGCTAATTAAAATCTTCTCTGGTGATAAAGGGAGACTTGGGAGGAGTGTTGCCACGATTGTTTTCCCTAAGAATTTAATTTACAGCCAATTTTTCCTATCTGAATGTTACTTTCAAATGCACCCAGTGATAAGAAGCAACATCTGTTTTCTGTTCAATAGTACAAGGAGGCTCGGCATGGGGCTGAGTGTACACAGCCTATGTGAAGCCATTGTTATTCTCATTTCTTTTTTGTTCCCATGCCTGGTCCATTTGCCATATACCATCCGGCAAACAGCTGACACATCCTGGCTATTATGGACCCAGGCCTAATTGCCAGCAAAGTCTTTAAGCTCTTCCACGTTGTCCTCGTATGAGGAATGGGAGGCCTATATAAACGGTGGTGCTCTCGACCACTGCTCTCATTTTGCCTTTGCGGAGTTAGCAGGCTGTTACGCCAGAGGGTTTGCGGATGCTAAAAATATAGTTGGAGCCCCGTGCCAGCGATTCGCTCTCTGGCTCTCCCCGCCTTGCCAGGAATGTTTCTGTTTTCTATGGTAATAAAGCTTGGGATTATTTAGATGGTAAACATATTCTAGTGTATTATTTTTGCCGGGGAGCGGCGATCCGGCTATCTGGAAAGAAAGAGTAATTTGTGGGATTGTATTTGCTAGGCTTTTCCTGCGGGTCTGGGCATGGGTACTGCTCACCCGGGAGCACATGAACCGGGAACTTCATCCCCATCTTAGGTTTTAACTTTTATTTTTCTTTTCCCCCCCACAGCCCTCCTGGAACAGAGACCATGATGATACAGCATCAACGCGCTCTGGGGGAACCCCTGGGCCCTCCAGTGGGGGACACACATCACACAGCGGGGACAACAGCAGTGAGCAAGGTAGGAACGGAGCCCTCATGCTTTCTTAGCTGGCGAGCAGTCACTGATGTGCTCAGGGGCTGGTTACTCTCTGATGTTGCAGTGTGCTCAAGTACTAGGGGGTTTGTGCTGAGAAAGGTCTATCTTCCTTTTTTTTGACACTTTTTTTTTCCCATCTCCTCCTAGTAAAAGGATTGGCATCTTTATTTCTTCGACCCTGCCAGCAGGCACACGTTAGAGCAACATATGTACCAAATTTGCAGTATGCTTAATAAAAATAAGCAACGAGAAGGGATTTTTTTGTTTCATTCAAATGGGCTAAAAGATGAAATCTTCAAAAGCAAATGTAATTAAGATTGCAGAAATGCATGCTAATATTTCAAAGATGCCATCAAAAGATGCATATAAAGAAGAGATGTTAGCTGGCCCGTTTTACTAAGTCCTGAGCAGTGCTTTTATTTACTTTTTTTACTCAATTCCAATTTACTTGAATGCAAAAATGTTTTGTTTGAGTGCCAAGCCAAACAAAGTAACTGATTTAGCAGGATGAGTATGAAATGAGCTTGGTGCAATTGAAGTGGGACATACTACAAATAATTAGTGCTGTCATAGAAGCTCTTGAAGTCTAAAACACCGAAATTCTGGGTTTTTCTGAGAAGCTGTTTAAATGCCTCACACTTTTTTCTGAAGAGACCAACTGCGTGGATTTAGTGTTAATTTAATGCAATTAAAATTTAAAAACGATCCTTAATCTGAATATAAAAGAAAGTGCTTTATTGAAGTTGACTCTGAACTCACAATAGGTATATACTTTTAAATCTGATTTTATGATCATGTTTCGTTCAAGTGCTGTTAGACAACAAAGGAATTGTGTTTCCAAAAAAAGGTTGAACAGTACTGATTAGCATTGCAAAGTCTGCATTTAACAAGATTAGTTTTTAAACTAAACCAGTATATTTTAATTTTTTATATGCATGGACCTAACATACATGGTGAATAACATCTCTTTATAGAATTTTAAGTATTTGAGACACTTTATTGTTTAAAGAAAAGTTGCTGACTTCATCGCAAGTATAGCCTAGTAAAAATGGGGCCTGGAATAGTAAACTGTTGCAGAGCTGAGGCAGAAACTGGTAACCTTCTGACCTCTGACTTTTACTGGAAAATGATATGCAACATAAATTCAGGGGGCCTTTTTTCTTTCAAGTATGTATACATATATATTCTAGTGGTGCTGTTCACAATGCTATAGTTGAAGTGGTGTCAACATGTTCATTAGAGCCCCTTGTTTTTGGAGCAAACTTTGAATCCATGGGTTTTTAAGGGTGAAAAAGCTGCTGCAGAAATAGGCTTTGAACTAAAACATGGTGTTTGGAGGGGCTTTTTGTACTCGGATAGGGCTGTTCTTTTATTAGATGGATGTGTGCGTGTTTATGTGTCTATGTGCATGGACAAAACATCTGTGGGGAGGCTTGCCAGCATGCTCCTAAACCTCTTGGGCCCTCTGGATATTGAGCTACTCAGTTCCTGGTGTACTTTTTAAGATTTTCAGGCTTCATTGTCTCCTAAATGTGGCATTTTATTAGTCTGGAGTGCCAGTTGTATCTGATGTTTTATGACTGCCATCCTGGTTGGCTCCTAGCAAGGTGTATGCTATAACCTCGGTCAGGAAGGGTTTTCTGAAGTGAGTTTAGATCTTAAGTCCTATTAAATATCCATAGAAAGACTTGTCAGCGACGCTTTAGCTGGTTCTGAAACTTTTACCCAAATCCCAGAGTAGGGTTTATTGAGGCTGGAATCGCTGCCGGGGCTTGATAGATGTTTCGTGAATAAGCCTCATTGCGTTAAAACTTTAGGAAAAGAGTAAAAAAAGTGGGAATTTGCTAACTGGAGCTGTCAGGTCAAGTTTGGGAAAGGAGTTTTGGGAAGGAGACTCTGTCCAGGGGGTCTCTGTTAGCGAGATTTGCCCTCAGGCCACTTATCACCTATAGGAATGGCCTTTTTTTTTAAGGAATGGGGATATGGGAAGTGTAGCGGTGGTCTTTCTGAGCCTTGCTTTATGTCTTGTTTGCTCAAAGCCCTCTAAAGGTTGAGATTATGGGGGAATCTCATTTGTTTAAGTACACACATGCCTGCATATACCCTTTGTGCAAAAAAAAAAAAAAAGGGAAAAAAAAAAAAAAGTGTGGGTTTAGCCTTCCTGCATGGGGAAGTAGTAAAAAAATATGATCCTGAATGACCAAAAGGAAAGTGAAGCAAAAGGTAGCAAATACTCTGCCTCTTCCCAACTACATCTAAGTTCAAAATGCTGTGATTTGCAGGCTTTTCTTCTGTGGCTTGATGAGAGGAGTGGCAACACTGTGGTCAGACTCACATATTCACCTCTGCTGGATGCTGTTCTTGGCAGCAGAAGCAGCCGGCATGGCACTGCCAGAGCAGCCGGGTGCTGCGGAGGGGTGGCAGCGAAAGGCTGGGGATCCGCACGTTCATGCTTGCGAGCACAGGAGTTAACTCAAGATGCATGTGTTGCATGACATATATTCAGTGTATTATCGGCTTCCCTATTTTTAGGAGTTTGTAAAAGTTCCTTTTGGTTCCATCTGTCAAGAGCGCGTTTGCCATTTAAAAAAACCCAAATCTAATCACCAGAAATATAACCCTCTAAAACTGTCTATTTTTAGGTTGTTCCCACAACCTACTTCCCCTGTCGGGATAGGTAAAAGCACTTTCTGGGCTGGGTTTTCAACCTGGCTGAAGGTATCACAAGGATGTGAATGTGAGCTTTGCATTTTCAGAGAGGCACACAAACTGAAGAGCTTAAGCCCCTCAGCAAGATTTCTCTCCCTTAGTCCTTAATCCACTCTACGTTAAGGTCTATTTTTGGACTTTTTGATTCTTTACCTGATCCATAACTGCTTTTAATCCACAGAAAGTGCATTTTTAACCTATTTATGTCCCTACGCACAACACAGATCGAATGATTACCTTTGGAAACAGGAGAGAGATTCTCTTTCCTGTAAACATTTTAAAGTCTTTTTTAACATGTAAATATATTTACTTAGTAATGACTCCCAGCTGCTTTGATCTATTATAGAAATCCATATTTAACTGCTAGGGAGCTGTTCTGAGGTATCGTGCCACTGAACAGCAGGATATGTTATTGCATAGCACGTTGACACAGCCTTTAATAAAGGCCTGGTATTGTGTCATCGTAGGGGATAGTTATAGTGCAGGAATGCAGAATAATATTATGAAAAAGTTTCCTCGGCTGTTTTTCTGTTGCTCTGAACTTATCATGAAGGGCCTTTGGAGGTCTGTCTCCAAAAAGTGCAGAGATGCAAATTTACACAGTGGAGAAATAACTTGCTATATTCCATTAAAAAAAAAAAAAAAAAAAAAGGGGCTTGCACAAAAAAAAAAAAAAAAAAAGAGAAGCAAGTTCTTAGGTACAGGCAGGTGATGCTGAGTTCACAGCAACACTATTTTACCTTATTGCGTATTGTAACTTTAAAAGATTCCTGTTTGGGGTATTACCAGATCTATTTTGTTTGTTTTTCAAATGGTCAGGCTGGGAGGATGCTGAACAAAGCCCTGGAAGCCCTGGTACAGTAGTCACTTTTAATCCAGAGTGGGGCTCTTTAATTCGCATGTTTAGCTCTCCTACATGGCTTAAAAGAAAAATAATCCATCAGTGTCTCCTATTTATGTGTATTGTTTCTTTCCCCCTTTTTTTTTTTTTTTTTTTGTGCAAGCCCCAGCCTGGGTTCAAAACATTTTTTTAACCTCCAAATAATTGTTGCTCTTTCAAGCCGGGAATAGAAAGTGGTGCTATTTCTTCATAAAAATGTATCAATGGCTGCAATGGGTTTTTTTTCAGCCTATTGTAGGAGTTTGGGCAACTGATAGGCAAAAAGGCAAGCTGGTATATAAATCCTTGCTCAGTCATCTGGAACATAATGTGGCCCTTCTCTCCCCCTCCACCCAGCTCTGCTGCCTGCCTTCGCAGCCTCCAAACAACCGCTCTGAGATTCCAAGCAATAATAAACGCGATTGCCTTTTTGCCTATCAGTTGCCCAAACTCCTACAATAGGCTGAAAAAAAACCCATTGCAGCCATTGATACATTTTTATGAAGAAATAGCACCACTTTCTATTCCCGGCTTGAAAGAGCAACAATTATTTGGAGGTTAAAAAAATGTTTTGAACCCAGGCTGGGGCTT